CACACACACACACACACACACACACACACACACAACAAATGATGCCTTAGAAGGGTTTTCCAGGAGAGGTTTTTTGGATAAGGTACACATAAGTTACAGGAGAAAGAAAAGTTCTGGAAGTCCCTCCGTGTGCAGCTAACGTGTTCCGAAGCATCGTGGACCCAGCCAGTGTCACTATTCACACCTACAACTTGCCAATAGGAGGGGTGTGGAGGAAAGATGAGAAAGGGGCTCATGCTGCTCTTAAGGCTGTGTGTGTGCTGCTTATTCTTGTACTAGAATTGCGCATCCTGCAACTTTATGCTGTATGAAGATTAACACACGTCATCTTGTTGCACAGGTTATGGGAAGCTGGTTGGAAACAGCGCTATTACAAGAATAAATTTGATGTTGATGCCTCCGATAAGAAATTCCGTTACAAGGTTGTGCAAGCGTATGTGGAAGGGCTTTGCTGGGTTCTCAGATACTATTATCAGGTATTTAAATATCCAGCTACTGGGATTCCTTCTCAGAATAGAGCATGTCTTTTGCCAGGAGTTGGTCATCCCAATTAATGATACGGTGATTTTCAAGTGGGAGAATCCAGGTGAATAACAGTCGATGGTGCTCAAAACATTGGGCTTTCAAGGTGTTGCTAGAATAGTTTTGTAGAAGTGGGGGTTTTTTTCATGACAGAAAATAGGTCTCGAACAAAATCTGCAGCACAGAATAGTTTCAGATAAGCCAAGAAGAATGATCACAGTGTGGAGAAAACTTTATTGAGTCAGTAAGAAAAATGGAAGGAAAATTGTGATTAAGAATAAAGGCATGGTCAGGAAAGAGGTGTAGGAGAACAAAGCATTCAACAGATTAAATTAACTAAGAGAATACATATACCATCTTGTAAAACTATCTTATTCTGCATTGGTTTGGTCTCAAAAGTCTTTGTGGGAAGCTCTTTGTGGAAAATAGGATAGCGTTTTTGTTGGAACAGCTCAAGCAAAGTGGGCAAGTAGTTATGCTCCCAGACAACCATGGTTAACCAATCGTCGGCCGTTTGTGGCATGCAAACCTGGTTGTGGCTATTTCAGTGTGCTTTCATGGCTTATTAAATTGTATTTGTCCTTAGAAATTCTTGATCTTTGTCCTTAGTCGTCTTTTTGGCATTGTATGCATTGCATAATTTGTGAGTTGTTCTCAGCGTGTTGTAGTCCAAGTAACAACAACAACAAAGAACATATCTTAATTTTAGCAAAGATGCAGTTTTTCTCTTTGTGTGTGTATGGGCACAAGGAGAGAAAGAGAATTACATAGGCATATACTTTCAGTCATTATGACACTGAAACTGCCCATTTCGATACTTCATTATTATGCCAGAAACCATTTTTTAACATGTAGTGATGAAAATGGTCTGCTCCACATCACCTCTTCTGTTTGAATTGTTACAGATAATGTGATTTGTGGGCTTTTAATGAATATGTTTCCAGTTGTGAAGAATAGTCCAATATTTTTCAGTATGTAAATACATAGCAAACGAGTTAGTATTAATGTAAAATTAAGTAGGCACTTTAAAAATTACTTTAATGCCATTGATCTGTGTTTCCTGGTGGCTTGCAGAAACAAGGGTAGGACCCAATGCAGCCTGAGTCAGATAAAAATCCTGCACCTCTCTGCATTCTCTGGCCTGGATTCCGGGAGCTGTAGGAATTTAACTTTCTAAACCTGCATGGGATTGTATTCTACATATATTTCGCTGGTCACAACCATGCTTAAGAACTGCTCTTTGGGACCAGTGTCTTCCATGACTACCGAGCTCTCCACAGCAATTTAATTAAACAAATGTCTTTTTGTCCTTTGAATTCTTCTTCATTTCGCCAACTAGGGGTGTGCCTCCTGGAAATGGTATTATCCTTTCCATTATGCACCATTTGCTTCCGATTTTGAAGGGATCACAGACATGCTGTCAGACTTCGAAAAAGGAACCAAACCGGTAAGGTTAATTGTTCATCTTTTCAACAGTCCATTGTCCGTCACTCACATTCATGATTATCAGAGGTTTAGAAGATTTGTTGTGACTGGCTTTTTAAATTTATTTTTTTGGCAGTTTAAGCCTCTTGAACAACTTATGGGAGTTTTTCCAGCTGCCAGCGGCAACTTTCTCCCACCAACTTGGCGCAAACTTATGACAGATCCGGTAAGAAAGCTGCTTTGCTTCTCCTCTTGCCCCACACTTTTCAGCTGTGCAAAGCTCAGGGTTTGTTAGAGCTTTTCTTAACAGCTTTTCTTGTTTCTCTTAGAGTTTTTTCTTAACAGCTTCAGAACATATCTAACAAATACAGGCAGCCCCTGGGTTACTAACAGTTCCATTCCTGAGAAAATGAAAATTCGCCTTTAAGTTAAATTTGTACATGAGTCGGGTCACATGTAGGTCAGCCTTCCACAGTTGTGGGGCTTAGGGACACAGGACCCACATGAAAGTGGGAAAACTGCAAATATCTCTAGCCCTTTCTCTCTGCCCAAAATCACCAGTGCCTCCTCTTTGCAGCAAGGAAATGCTGGAGAGATATCCCTCTCCGGATGAGCAGGACAGGAAGCCATGCTTTGGAGGCCTCCCTCTCCCCCCTTTCACTTCCCCTCTCTCTATGGTGATGCTTTGGAGACCTCCCTCTTTCCCTCTCTCTTTCGCTTTCCCTCTCTCTATAGTGATGTCAATTCTCTGCAGTAATTTTTTAAAATTAACAGGCTGTACAGCAGTTTGTTTGTAAGCATGAGTTGTAAGCATAACTCGGGGACTGCCTGGATGGCTGTTTTTACTGCTGTTTGCTGGAGGCCAAGACTTTGCCAACTATGAGCAGTATCTGGATTAGAATGACCACCAGCTTCATTCCTGGCACAATGGGATTCCCAGAAAGCTGCTGCGGCTGTCGCAGCAGAAGTCCCTCACTTCGTCTCTGGCGGTCTTGCGTGCTGCTGGGTCTCCTGGTCAGGTTGGTGCAGCTAGATGGTGGAGCAGAGAAGGGGCGGTGGTGGCACCAAGCTAGGCAAGCATCATGGAAGAAGAGCAATGCCTTGCAAGAGGGCTTCAGGCTGGAGAAGGAGGCTGATCGCGCCATCTGGTCTGCTCAGACCATTTCGGATATGGAAAGCGTGCGGTTCGGGGACTTGGGAAAACGAAGCTCCGTCACTGCAGTCGGAACATCGTCAGCGCAAGTGCTGTTCATTTCGACAGGCTCTCCATAAAGAGTATGAGAAGAGGAAAGGAAGTAGTTTCATCCGCAGGCTCCAGAATCATTGTTAATGATCTTTTATTAAACACAGGAATCAAGTATAATTGACTTCTACCCTGAAGATTTTGCTATTGATTTGAATGGGAAGAAATATGCTTGGCAAGGTAAATACTTAAGGTCACAAAATTAATACTTGCTCAGGGAGTCTTTGGGGGCATTTGAACAAAACAAGGAGGAGTTATTTCCACTTATCACCACCTGCCCAAATGATTTCAGTGTAGTTTGATCTTTTTTAAAATGAAAAAGAAGCAGTCAAATAGTCTGGGGATAACTGTGGCCAATAGAAATTTTGGTTGTCCCCTTAATCTGTTACATCGACTTGAAATCGACTATAATTAACTATCCATATAGCATTGTTTCTGTGTTTATTTTGACCCACTGAGTAGCTTAGATAATTTTTAAAAAGCAGAATAAAAATACCGTGGTTTGCAGCTTCCATCTGTTTATGCAGTGAGGTTTCCCCTTCCTCCTGTCCCCTTTCTATGTGGTCCCCACTCCCAAATCTGCTCCAGTGGGTTCTGCAATATTCTAAAACTAATTTGCAGGTTGGAGGAGCAGTGGGGAAATCTCTGAACAAAATACATGATTGGATCTTATGTTCACACTCCATGGACTTGTATAACTGCTAGAACTTCATGGTTCTCTAGCATCCAGAACTGTGAACTGACAACTTTTCTTCGGTTCATTATGTTATATTTCTTCGCTCACCTTAACACAAATGGTTGGCCCAGTCAAACCAAAACAAATATAATGGCATAATTTCTACTCGCATCTGCAAAGAAAGGTCAGTAAGGTAAACACTGTTAAAGTCTCAATTATTTCAGCAGAGAGAGCTAAACATGTATGTAACCCCACCCCATTGAAATAAATGGCCTAATCTACTCTTCTGTGAATCTGTAATACCTTGAAAAGTGGGCTCTGATCACTTGTTTTCCGTAGGTGTCGCTCTGTTGCCATTTGTTGACGAACGCCGCCTGAGAGCTGCCCTTGCAGAGGTGTATCCTGACCTCACTCCTGAAGAAAGTAAGAATTACAGGGGGATATAATCCTTCTGATAACTGAGGGATGGAACTTTTGTTCAGTGCTAAAAAACAAACAAACATCCTAATATTAAACCCGAATACATCTTTCCAGCATCAACCAGTTTGCTTTTCGTTTGAATGCAAGGAGCAAGGTCAGCGGATCTGGTGCCATCCCATGAGCTCAGTCTTGTGTTCTAATCCTTGTCATCTCAATTTCCAATAGAATGAAAAAAATCAGCCACATTGGAACTGGGAGCAGCCCGCCCTCCCTTTTCTTTTCCTACTCCAGTGGGGTTAGGCAAGGCCTTGGAAGAACAGTCCTTTTCTTAGAGCTTAGCAGGTTACAAAACAGCATAAATCAAAGCAATATTTCCTTTGGCATCTGCCCATGTGGAGAATTTGAATCCAGAGTGAAATATCCCCTTCGTCCCCCACTTTCAGAAAGATTCTGAACCAGGGTGGTTCCTGGCTGCTTGAGGTTGAGACGGCGGGAATGCCGGACACGGTCGTCTCCTCACAGGGTCAAGGAACTCCATCCCATTCTGAAATGCCTCCCCTCCTTTCCCAGGCTGGTCTGAGCCTCTTTATGAGGCGGACTTGGAACTGCGAAGCCATCTGCCTCCTCCACCATCTTCTCAGGATTGAATGAATCTTTCCAAGCAGCCTGCAGCTTGCCAGAGCTGTCCCACTCTCTACAACCAGCCCTAACACCTTGCATTTTAAGCGAGGTGTCCTTTTTGCTGCATGATCCTGAAGCATGGCGTGACCAGCTCTGTACAAAATACTTCACTGGAAGGCTTAGGGGAACTATTGCACTTGGCATCTCTGATAAGACACCTCTGCTAATTCGACTGAACAAAATGGCACCTGGCCATTTTGCATCTCTCAGTAGCGCTTGAGCGCACCTACTTTCCCTCTCGGTAGTAATTTCAGGCTATAGCGTAAGCCCAGGAGTTTGCAAAACCGTCATCAGTCCGAAACCCCTGGTATTTCTCTCATATCGCGTCTTCCAGCAGTTCAAGGTAGAACATCCACATCCACTAGGACCAAGCTGGGTGGACTGGGTGTGGGCAGGTCTCGAAGAGCATCCCGGTCCTTTGGCTGGACGATCATTTTGGTCGAAGTGGAAGTGGAAAAGGGTTAGCTTCCCCTGCTCTCTTGACTCTCTTGGTAGGAGAGATCTGCCCAGAGGGTGGTGGTGGTTGACCTGAAGGGGCTGCAGCTGCTCTGCACATGGGTGTTCTGCGGGCAAAGTGGGCAGCGGGGGACTGCCAGGAGACCCACCTGAGCGCCACAGCGGCTGACGGCTTGTGAGCAGAGCATGGAGCATTAAGCATGCTCCAGAGGGACCGCAGCTTTGCCGTGCTTGGACTGCCCATCTCGGATAGAGCCATTTGTGCTTGTTCGCTTGCGTTTAGCAGTAATAAAAGATAAATGGGCACATCTCCGTACATTATGGAAGAGTGACCTGGACATTTATCAAAGTAGCACGTTTGTGAGAGAGTGGGAATTGTAAAAATTTGCAAGTAATAAACATAGAACCTGGAGGAATGTTGTCCATGGGGTCGCGAAGAGTCAGGCATGACTTTGCAACTGAACAACAGTGATAAACAATGAAACAGAGCAAACCAGAAGGGGCCATCTAGTCTGACCCCTGGCTCCAACCACCTCCGTTCATGACATGCCTACCATGTGCCTGTCCAGCCTATCCTAAAACTGCCCTAAATTGCTATCATTTCACTTCCTTTTCCAGACCGAAGAAATAGCCTTGGTGGGGATGTTCTCTTCATTGGAAAACATCATCAACTTCATGACTTTGTTCTTGAACAGTACAAGACTAGTGAAAAAGAGGTATGTCAGGTTCGTTCTCACGGGTTTTGCATTTGTCATTAGTACCTTTTTGTCTCAGCTGATGAGGATGTTCTTTTTCCCCGATAGCCGGTGGACATACCGCCTGAACTTTGTCATGGTATCCAAGGAAAACTTGCCCTCAACGAAAACCCAGTTCTTCCGGATGAGTAAGTCTAGTGTACAGTTTGATTCATTTGCAGAAGAAGAATATCACTTGCTTAAAGGCTCCTCGGACAGAAGCGAAACAGATGGATTTAATATTCTTCTCAAGAAGCAAATGTGTGTCCGCATCACAGTGCAGGCCAAGTCCCCCCCCCCCCATGTGGATGGTTCCCAAAATGAAGTGTCACATGGCCAGTTCGTGTGCGTTCCTTCCTTGATTGTGCAGACTCAGCCATCGAGTGGCAAAGGCGTGACATCACGGGTTCCTTATTGAACCCACATTGAGGCAGTAGTGCATGGAGCTGCCATTTTGAACAAGCGGCCCGTTCTCGGGGTGGTCGTGCCATGCAAACCTTGTGAGCACTGGTCATGCCGTGGAGAAAACCGTTGCCGCATCAGCTGTAATCACGGGGTTTGCACAACGTGACAATGCCCAAGCAGGGAGCTTGGCTTCTAAACTCGGACAGTAGGCCTTTGCTCGCAGAGTGGAATTAAGGCTAGATCCTCAGTCTGAAAAAATCTGAATATATCTGAAAAAATCTGGTGTTTACCTAAGAGAGGGATAAATTAAGTTGGCTTAAGTGTGACTCACCCTAATCTGTGTTTCGTTTGAAATTGGATGATGCCACTTGATTGATTCCTCCATCTTGTCATACTCAAAACAAGCATAGATCATTTTACACAGTTTACTCACTGAGACGGTTTATCAGGCATGGTTAGACTTTGAAAATGTGCTATTCTGTTCCTATTTTTTTACCATTGTGCATGCAAGAATTTGGCCCCTGTGGACAGCTAAGTGCCCTTTGCATCAAGGGCAAATGTCCCATGTAGTCTCTAGAGCCAGTTTATCTCAGATACACTTTCTACTCTTCTCTGCAGTCGAGAGAGTTCTTTCTTCTAAATGAGCTGTCCTTCCATTTCTCCATCTCCATCAGGACAGTGCAGTCTCCTGTGCCACAGCTGCGCGATCTGACACAGAATTCTGCGATAAGGTAAACTGGGTTTGGAGGGACTGTGCAAGGCTGCGGGATCAAGTCCCTGATGATTGTGGCATTCAGCAATTCTTGACTTGCTTCTCATCCTGAGACTAGTACTGGGGGGTTTAGAAGGGGAGCATTAAACTCCTGAGGACAGGCACTTCCCCTATATCTCAGACTCCTCCCAGCTGTGGTCTGAATTGCAGAAAATACATGTCCCTTCCTAGAATCAAACACTGTTATAAACCTGAATGCAGTTCAGAAGAAACATCATGTTTCCAGTTTCTGACTGCAATCTGCTGCAGGCTGGCGAATTCTGAGTCATTTTTTAAATTTTATTTTATTTTAACCATTTCTAGACCATCCTTTACCGTGTCTTGGGACAGTTTAACAATAACACAATATAAATTAAAATGAAACACAGCATCCTAATAAATTTTCCAACCAGCAGTAAAAGCCCAGTTAAAACAATCAAATCTGAGAACATGCGGAGAATTAAAAGGTTTTGGCCTGGCACCAAAAAGAATAGTCGTCCAGATAAAGCGTGGGTGGCAACCTCTGTCAGAAAGCAGGACTGACAGTGCACCGCTTCCGGACCTTGCTTTATTTGAAGACGCCCACTTTGTGGCATACGATAGGCCTTCTATTGACCCTCCATGGCTGTTGTATAATTTGTTCTGTTGAAATTTACAGTAAAACCGTATTAATGAATAAAGCAGCAATGGTCATTTCAAATGTCTTCATTCTTAGTGTCAGCTTTAAAGACCCGCAGTACCCAGAAGACTATATTTTCAAGGCCGTGGTGTTATCTGGGGCAAAGTAAGTCACCCTTTCCTGCTTCCGCCGTCGGTTCTTTCTGTCTGCTACAGCTGTGGAGGGCTGAGTCCTCGGGCAGTCATGCCCTCTGTCCAGAGGGCTGGGCAGGGTATCCTTCGGCTGGGGGCCCCACTAAAGTCGACTCTGTTGTCTTACTGTTCAGAAAGCCTCCGGCAGTTCTGAAGCCGGGTGACTGGGAGAAAACCAACAATGATGGTAGACCGTGGAGGCCCCAGCTGGGCTTTAACCGGAATAGGAGGCAAGTTCACTTGGACCAGTCAGCATTCAGAACATTAGGGTAAGTCGCAGCGGTTACGGCCTCCTCCGGGCTTAAGCATCCCTACTCATAGGCATAGGCCTGCCTTTGTTAAAAGTCTGCTGCAGCTCAGCCAGGATGCTGAAAACAGTACAGTTCCCTAGCGCTGTGAGTTTCGTTAAGGGAAGCAAAATTACGAGCTTTCGACGGCTGTCGGCAGGAATATCATTGAAAGGGTGTGGGGCAAATCCATAGAACCTTCAGGCATGCATCTGCTGTGAGGCGTCATGCCTGCCTGTTCCTTCTGGAGTGAGAGGCAGTGCTCCACTCCACTCCACTCCTCAGTGCAGTTCCACGTCGTCTTTCCATGTGTAAATTAAACTCGGGCACCTTTCCATTGATACAGTGGTTGATTTTGGTTTGTTTTCCCCTCCCACATGGCAGCCACTCAATGCCGAGGGACAGAGGACAGTCGGGAAGTGGCGTCTACAGCAACATTGCTCCGCACGGAGCTTACAATCAAGGAAACGCGTACAGGCCCCTGTTGGGTCGACCGCAGCAACAGATCCCAAAACTGTTATCAAGTAAGTTTAAAGCGTTTTCTTTCTGCTGCACTTTCGGCTAGTTGAGAGGAGAAATGCACGAGTCGGGTTTGGTTTTGTTCTCCAGTATTTATCGTGAAGTAGATCTTCTTGCTGCTGGAATGGGCGCTGGTGTGCCTGGCAGCCTTAATCGATCTGAAGCTGTTGGTGCATTTCCTAACTTTTATTCAGGATAAGGAGTGGCATGATGTAGCCGGTAAGACTAATAATTGGGGAATTTCCCAGTCCAAGTCTCAGGTGAGCCATGAACTTGTTCCCAGACATGCCCACCCAGTTTCTGCTCTCCATCTCTGAAATGGTGTTCGTGGAAATAATAGACTGTTTTAAAGGACAGTAGCACAGACTGCGAAAGGACGTCTAGGGCAGGGACCTGAGCTGTTTGGGTCCCTGGACACATTTACACCCATGTGCTGTCACAACATGGCTGCCATGGCGGGCGTAGCTTGCCACCGAACACCTATTTCACAGGAGGCAGGATGGCACGATGGAGTGGCAAGCAACTTGTCCAAAAGAGGCAGAGCTAAGGTTTGGTCTTCAAAACGATGCCCTTGAATCCAACATTTCCAGCTCCAAAAAAGGCCCATCTCACAGAAGGCAAGCAAATTAATTTCCCCAGATCACCAGTTAGTAAGTTCTTCTCAACTTAATTCCCCCTGCTTTGCACCATGAATGGAAAGATCCATTGCCTCAGTGGGCAGTTACTCCTTTCTTCCATCTCCAGTTCGGATCTTAGTAGCTTCCGCCGAAACAAATCCCCATCCCTTGCCCGGCAAGCTTCATGTTGAGGTGCGAAGTTAAAAAGGCCGTGTAGGTCTGAGCACCCCTCCCCATCTCATCCACGGTGAAAACAACACAGTTCCGTGATGGATTATGGGATGGCAAGGTGTGGGGCTAATGCACCTGTACTGTGCCCAGTCAATCCCTTCTTACTCCCATGACTTCTTGGCGCAGGAAGATTTGAAGAGATTGTGTGCACGCATTGGTACGCGACAGTGGAACGGCTCGGGGTTGGGCCTGGGCCCAGTTCCAGGAGGACCACCCAGAGAGTAGCGGGTGATGAGGCCGTCAGGGCTCGTTTTTGCGGTGATCATGATGGTGCTATAATTTCAGGGAGCGTAAAACCAACCACTGCCTATGTGCGCAGTGGCAAACGTTCCAGCATCAGGCCTTCAGAAGCCCGTGTAAAGCATGGAATGACAGCTCAGGGTGAGAGTACCGTTGGTTGTGGCGCACGCAACTGACGAAATACAGTCGCATGAAGCACGTGCCCATACACCGCCGTAAGACCATGAAATCCAAAGGGTGAAATGGACATTCGCAGGGGCCCCTGTGCACACGGGACTTGCTTCCCGTGGTGGTGGATGAGCACAATGTCCTCTTTCTACCCCATCCGTTGTAGGAGATTCCCAGTTCCAGTAGCGTCCGCTCCCGCCCAGAGCTGCAGACGTTTTATCAGTGTACTGGTTTGAATTAAGAGCTTTGTTCCTGGGCTGTGCTGGCTGGGGATGATGGGAAAACATCAACCGTTCTCTGTGCCTGCGTGTTGTAAAGGAGGATTAGTGAGCAGCCGACTTTTCAGGACCACACTGTAACTCATCTTGACGAACTGCAAGGTCTCCAGCAGCGTAGCTGGAAATCGCTGGGGCAGCTGCACCTATATCCATGCCTCTGTCGGTCTGGGAGCAGCGTGTCTTTGAGCAATCGTGCTGCATTGTCCAGCCTCGATTCAAGATCGGCCTGGTGAAGTTATTCAGCACTACTTCACTTCTGTTTTTCTAAATCTCATCACATTCCAAGAACATTAGCTCGTGAACTTGGTATACGGCAGTGTTTTATTTTCCTGGACATCTTTTTCTAAGTGAATCAAAATTAGAGTATGGCAGGGACAATCCAATCTAAGCTCTCTCTCAGCCAGCTGTAAGTTAGGGTTGTTCCCTGATTTGACAGTGATGGGCCAATTTTCAACTGATGAATAATTACATGCTGATAGTTTTCAGGAGTCAAGTGGGTTTTGCTTGTCCTAGGTGAATGCAGGTTGGGTTTTTGCTGTCCTGAGTGTCTGATCTTATTACTTTCATTTCATTCCGTAAACTTGTCAATTAGCTGATTTCCCGTTAATCAGGGTGGGGGAAAGCATTTTAAAATCGGTAAACATGAAATCTTGCCGTTGATTGCCATGCTGATTACATAAGATGTCACTTGAATCGCTGCTGGAGAGGGCAGCTTAAACCACTGTGTCGCTCTAGGAATTGTGTGCATTTTCAGGACCAAGGGTTTATTAACGGTCATTTCCCTTGCTGCGGCTGGTACCTTTTCTCTTGAAATGCTGGCCTCATTTCCCCCTTGTTTGTTGTCTCATATTGCTGTAATGAATGGTTCAGAGTTAAGCGCTTTCCGCCGTTTCTTAGGGGAGTGCAATGTGTGTGCCTTGAGGATGGCAGAGCGTGAATCATTAGACCGTGTTCCAATCGGTGCCTTTTGAATTATCTGCTCCCCAAAACAGCACGAGAAAGCAGCCGTTGCCCGTTCTGCAGCCTTCTGTTGTCCTTCTGCTTATTTCCGTGCAGCCACTCCTCCCGGGTGCTATTCTTTGATATCCTGACTTTGATCCTCTTTGTATGGGTACAGCAGGAGTGGGCGGGGGATGGGATAGGGCAAGGGCCAGAAACCTTCCTCTGTTTCCCTCAAAAATATCCCCACCCTGGCCATAGTGGTGAACGGGAGAAATGCCCCTCGCTAGCCTTCCATGGAGACAAGCCACAAATGGATACTGGCAGCATGAGAAGTGGTCACTGCAGCTCTGAAGCATCAGTGAGTCACTGATTTTACAGAATGAGCTGGCCCAGTGGCCCACTTACTCTGATTCAAGCAATGCCATGAATTCCTTTCTTTCCTCTCCAAGGAAGGTTTCTTTGGGCATTGGGTGGGCCACGTCTTTTCAGGCTTTGCAGGGATTAAATGACCAGCGTAACTACGTTAACGGTTGCTTCTTACCATAAATGCCCCCAAGTTTGTGCTGCCCAGTTCTCTTTACCTTTTTGTGATGCTGGCGTCTTGCCTCTTTGGTGCTTAAGGAAACCTCAGCCGATCTGCATGCTTTGCACAAAGAGGACCGGTGTGCTGAAGTGGTTACAGTCTTGGGGACTGGGGGAGTCCAGGGTCTTGACCCACTTGGCTCGGGGCATGACTCACAACCTAACCTATCCCATGGGTTGTGTTGAAGGTAAAATGGAGTACAGAAGGACTGTGTAACACACCTTGGGCCCCTCGCAAGAGGAAGAAGCTGGAATATTTTTTATTATTATTATTATAACATTTCTATGCCGCCCCTTGCCGAAACCTCGGGGCGGCTTACAACATGATAAAATACATTGAAATAATATCCATGCAGGTGTTGTTACTATTATTACTGAGATAGGGATATTATCTTAGGAACTTATCGCAGGAAGCTTTGTTCACATACTGGTGGAATTTCTCTCCTCAAATGCCGTCCAGAGCACAAGCTGTCACGTCTTGCATACTGGGCTTGCTTTCCAGCACCCAGGTCATGTTTGTGTCATCGGCCTGCCTGCCCTTCACACGGTTCCTTCATGTGACACCATAAAAAGCTTCAGTTTGGGTCAGACCTTTAAAATATAAGTCATCCAGTCTGTTAGTACATGGAGCAGGGCTCAGGTTTATTTCTAGACATCGCTTTGTCAAGTACAACATTAAAACAACCAGTGTGGCATTCCAGTGAATTATTGCTAGGACTTGTGTCCTTGAATTTTAACAACTTAATAGGGGCATTACCACCCTATCGTGTGTGTGTGTGTGTGTGTGTGTGTCCATCCATTAGACAATTGCAGCAACCAGCTGTTATAATTAGGTTGCACTTAAACACCATTGAAGTTAATCAAAGATGTCACTAGAACGGAAGCTTTTTGATTCATAAACAATTCAAGTGTTTTGAACTAGCCAGGGAACTATTGATCCTATGCGTCTTTCCTTCTGTTTACATGTCCATTTACATAGAAGGAGAGCGACCATTCAATTGTATGGCTTGTTAAAGTCTTGCTGCTGGTGTATTTTTGTAGTATGATATCCCTTGGTATGAAGAAAAACTTGAGTAGATACTGGTCTGGGGCATCTGATAGATACAGCATTTCAGATTCTTCATCCAAGTTCATTTGGTATCTATCTTTTTGCTGCAACTACATACATTTCAGGTGATAATACATTTATTTTGGTATATAGGCCACTCATCCATAAAGCTCCATAACTAATGAAAAGTAAGTGTGTGTGTGTGTGTGTGTGTGTGTGTGTGTGTGAGAGAGAGAGAGAGAGAGAGAGAGAGAGAGAGAGAGAGCGCGCGCGCGCGCATGCGCGCGCGCGAAATTTCCAATCGGGTCACCTTGTTGTTTAAACAATTATTACATTGCTTGAGCAATGTGTATTAATGGGGATGCTGAGCACCTAGTAAATATGTTTACTGGGAAGTGAAGTTTCGGAAGAGCCATGTGTGGCAGACTTTTTTTTCCAGAAAAATTCCCACTGCTTTATTTTTCCACCAAACATATTTTCTTTTGCAAGTATGCTGGTAACAATGAATGATGCCAAATGTAAATTGAACCTTAGGCAACTTTGGCCATTGGCTTGACATGGCATTTCAAAGTGATAATTAATGTTTTTCAAATGGTTATTACAATGCATCTACCCCACTGAACTAAATATATGATCCATTGTGCAAATGAAGAGATCATAGCAGTGCAACATCTCCCCCTTTCCAGATAGATGAGGGACTCAGAGACTCATGCAGCGTCCTCTGGTCTACAGGAACTAATTCACGTGGCATCCATAACCTGGTCCCATCGCAATGCTGACTGGGGATGCTGGGAGTTGTAATCCAACTAATCAGGTGGCACCAGGTTCTGGAAGCCTGAATTAATGTCTGGACAGTTTTCAATGTGTTTGTCTCTTCCAACAATGTAAGGGAAGTACATGCCATTGTCTTTAACATTTTATAAGTGTTCCAGTAAAAACATATTCATAATGTAACATTTAAATCAGAGTAATTTACTAAAAATTTCCCCCACAAGCTTTTCAAGTCAAATATCTGATGTATTGGGAGAATAAAAAATAAGTTGGGTTTTCTTCCAGCTTTGTTGTTTGTTTCATTTGTATTCAACAACATGCTAAATTGAAACACTTTGTAGTGATTGTTTGATAACAAACTGAATGTTTCCATTGCCATCTGGACATTTTCTGATGCAAATGCCCCTAGGCATATTGGACTAAAAAATTTTGGAAACCCATATTGTTGCTTCTGAGTTCACCATTAGTGATTACTTTAATAGACAGCTTCATGTCAGCAACTTTTCAATTAAAGGGGTACAGTTAAGGGTGTCGTGGTTGGTTGTGGGGCTTGTTTTCATGAATTTGTATCTGTTCTTCTAACACAGAATGAGCGACAAACTAGTAATGTTGTAGCTCTAATAAAGAGTGGTAGTTTTTGTTTGGTTAAGTTGAAAGATCCCCCCCCCCCCCGCATTATTTCATTGTCTCAAAAGGTAAGGATGCTATTGCAGTGGCATTAAATTGATCAGCTGAAAGCTGTGCGGTTGATCGAAGGCACAATGGCAGTAATAAGACTGATCCTGTTTCTCGCTGCTGCCAGTCCAAAATCTCTCTCTTGGAAATTAAGCCACTCTTAGATATTTTCAAAAAAGTCTGGGGTGTCCTCCTAGTTCTTGAAGTTTAGTGAATTCTGGAGCACACGTGTAAAGCCATTCATATGTCATTCATATTTACTGTTCTTATTTTGGTAGCACGTGTGAGAAGTTGTTTTCATTTAATCTTAATGCATTATATTTTCTTTTCTGCTTTGCATTTCATTCTACAGACCTTAGGCCTCAAGATTCATGGAATGGCCCTACACCTCTCTTTCAGCAACCGCCACAAAGATTTGACAGGTATAGTGAATGTATACTTTCTAAAATATGTATCTTGCATTGGTTAAGGTTTTTTTTTCTTTTTTTCTTTTTCTTTTTCTGGTTAAATAGGTGATCTCAGATCCCAATATGATTTCCACTGTGCAGATTTTTGCCAATAAAGAGGCATAATTTATCTCCCTCAAGATGTGAGTCAATTTTCTTTGTTTGGGAGAGCTGTTTAAAGGAAAACCCTTTCCATTAATAATCAGAAACTGCAAAATTAACTTTGCTGCTGATGCTGCTGGTACGGTATTCTTGGTTCGGTGGACTCTGTCCATTGAAGCGCCAGCGGTCCTATGAATTTCAACACAGACAGCTTAAAACTGCATTAGGTTTTGGACAGGCTAAACAAATTTCTTTTTAGGAGAGTTGTGGAGCTTAATGAGGCATAACTAATGGTGGTCCACTTTTATCATCCCTGTGCTAGAACTACAGCATTAGCACAGAGCAGCCATTGATTCTTGCTACAAACCTCTTGAAGTCCTAATCAGCTTCTTTGGTACAGCTTTTTCAGGCCTGACAGGCCTATTGTGGGCCTATGTCACTCTAGGTCAGTAGTTATTAGTTGCCACTGAAAACAGTTTCTTTAACTACTTAAGACTGAACTGAATTAAATGCAGGAGGGACTCGGGGGAGGATTAAGGAATCTGCAGTCCAATAAGTACCATGGAACAGAGAGAATGTGACATGGTTTGATAATAAGGGATGTATTATATATGTTTCTTCATTGAGAACTGGCTATATGCCCCTAAAACCAGATATCCTGGAATTTGCAACGTCCATCTGTGAATAATTCCTATTATATTTGCAGTGCTCAGTAAGACTATACATGTAAAATGGCCACTAAATTGAGCATATGTTTTCTTTGAATGTATTGTTCTGTGCTAGAACAGAACTGATAACAAAATATTGGGCTGTGTTTCCCAAGCAAGAGATTCTGATTCCTGCCACATACGGTGAACCCGCATTCTATTTTTTTCTTCTTTTTTAAGATCATGTTTCCAAGACAATATGTTGTATTTTTGGAATTCTGGTCAGTGATTTAACTTCAAGTACTACATGTTCTCGTGTATGGAGGTCCCTTTTCAAGAGAGCCTTTGAACTGTTTTTTGGCTTTGTTGTAATCTTTCTCTCACAAGAGCTTCTTGTTCATCCCTGCGACAGTGAACTGTAGTATAAGTAGAAAAATATTTGTATCAATGTAAACTCTGCAAACTGTTTGCATCTGTGCACGCTGTTCATAGCCATAATCAAGAATACTCACGTGCTCTTACAGCTTTTCTGAAATGAAATAAGTTCATAAGATGTCACAGAGGCTCTCTTGCGTTTTGTGGAGGGTCTGCCTATGTCAAGATTAAATCTTTCTCAGCCTCCCTTCATTTAACTAAGACAAAAACAAGTAGCTTGCTTAGCTTGAAGCCATTGTGTTCCTAAGCCAAAGGGGAAGGCGGGTCAGATAAAGAGTGGGGCAGCGTGCTTAAGATTCCTGCAGTATTTTACCCAAGATTCCCCACCTCTGCTACTTGTCCAGGTGATTCCCGTAGTTAATGTTTGCTCCCTGTGTTAGTATTTTGTCTGCTGGCCAAGTTAAGACCTGTCTCTGGGCAACTAGATGCCATTTCCTTTGGAGAACTTTATTGAAGAACTGGCGAGAAAATAAATTAAACATTGAAAAGCGTATTTGTTCAAGGATGGCTGGCGACTCGATTTGCTCCCTGAAGCAATTTTAGCCACGATGGCTTACTGTGTCGCTTCCAAGGGAAGGGAACTAATTATTCAGTCCGTTGGGAGAAATGTCCTAACTTGGATATTGGACTTTATGAGGAGGAGGCATGGCAGAATATCTTCTGTCCTTCTTCAAAAGTGCTTCTAAGGGCAGTGTCCGCTGCTGCCATCCATTCATTTCTGCAGACCACCCCTGCCTCGGACTTTGTGCGGGGCAGAGATTTTACCACTTCTAGAGGAAGCCCCAACTTGAGCAGAAACACGCACTTCTCAGTCAGGGCAAGTGAGTGTCATTCTGTTCTGCGAGCCCAGCCAGCATTTCCCTTTGTTTCGGGAAGGTCTGACTCTCCATTGCGCCAAGCGTTGGGCATTACCTGTGGAGTGGAATTGGCAGGGGCTCAGAACCCTTGAGATAGTCCGTCCCATGTTCTAAAGAAGTTTGGTCAGCATCCTCACTTTCAGGATCAGCCTCTGTACCTTCGTTACGGAGACGCAGCATCTCTGCTTTCGGCAACAGCGTGTTGATGTGTCGACACATTTAGCCAGTGTTAAACCTGTGATCCTGGAGAACATTCTGACGGAATAACTTGCGGGATCCAAGAAATTTGCTGAAGTTAAGTAGATTTGGGTCTGGCCTGTCCCCAGTCCACCATCCTCCACCTTGTATTGCATGACAGAAGGGATGGTAGGATGGGTCAGCCTGCATCCCATTCTCACCTTCTTGTTGAGCACCCAAAGGTATCTGGTTTTAGAGACAGAGTTTTGGTCTTGATCTGGCAATGCAGTTGTTAGAAGTTCTTGTAGAAAATGTTGTGGAGGAAAATAATGGCCTATTTTGATATTTCATGAACAAGAAGGCTACAATCAACGTCTTTGTAGTGCGTGAGCCATCTCCCAGTGCGCCGCCAGGGATCCCTGCTGCTCATTGCAGCATCGGTACAAGTTGCGGTTGTGGAAAGTGGCCCTTGACCGCCACCACTGATTAGCACCGAAGGGAAAGGAGGGCCCTGTTCTCTTTTTTATGGGCGTTGCGGTAAGATTGGAACTGCTGCATGGCCATGCAGGGATTTCCTGCTGGAGCCAGAAGCGCTGTTCGACCTGTTGGGAGCAGGCAGCTGTCCCATTGCCATTTCGAAAGCAGTTGGCTGCAGTTTGAGAGGAACAAGTCCAGAGCCCCCTTAGAACCTCCGACCAGCAAAAGGGGGAGTTCCCAGGGTTTGGCAGAGTTTCAGTGGGAAGGTCGAGACGCCATCCGCCCTTGTCTTATACCACCGTGGCTTCACCTGAAGGTTAAAATATTGCCCAAAGGAGCAGATACTACTTGGATGCCCATTTCTGAAGTATACTACGCATTGCAGTTTGCAGCAGCTCCTTATGACACCAATTTTGCACCTGGCCAGATACGGTTCTTAAAGTAGCTTCTTGAGTTGTTTGTAATAACGCAGTCCTCTCCTGGGCAGCTCTTGGACTTAAGTTGTGTCATAATTCTGCATTTTTCTACAAATAAATAGCTTCGTTCTGATGGGGGTGCTTTCAAACAGAAACGCCTGTTGTCATATGCCCGTAGTGTTAAAGCATTTAGTTTCGTTGGCATTCCTGCTGATAATAGACATTGCATTTGTGTTCCCATATAAACTGTACCGCAAACCTTGGCTGGCCCATCCCAATTAGTGCTTATGTTGCTAGGTCACTCTGGTCAATTGAAAACGGCATCAATAGAACTTGAAAAGGGTTCTTCCTGATCAGACCTTCTGACATATTGAGTCGAATAATGGGGTGGGGGAGGAGATAACAGAGAAAGCTCCTACCCTGGATTCAAACTCCTCTGCTGTAAGAATTCATTTGCAACCTGCAATTAACTAGAAAGAATAGATTCCCAGATTTAGCCTGGATATTCAGAAAACAAAGCCTCGCTCTTGCACTTGTTTACTCTTGAGATAAATCACACCAGAAAAACAGAACATCATTGTGAATTTTTGCTTCAGATCGCAGCAGAGGGGAACTTTGGAGAGGCAGCAACACCAATTGCACAGGTCCTCCCAGGTCATTTTTAAAGCTTGAATCTGAATCTGATGAAAATAAATCAATCCTGACATTTCTTCCCAATTAAGGTTTTATTCTTGGGAAAGTGGGGATGAAATTATTAGGGCAGGAGCAACATAGCTGTCAGGTAACTCAGGGGTCCAATAAAACGCACCGAATCATTGTGCAAATACGCTGTACAGTCAGCAACGCTGAAGTCTGCCAAGCTTTGGCTAATGCTGCTTGCATCGAAGGAATTCATGTGGAAGAGAAGCAACCATAATATACCTGTTCTTTCCTCAGAAATTCTGGGGCCACTCCTCTCCTCGCTTGGAACCGCATGCCACATTCCCAGGGACCGTCATACCAACAAAATCAGTACCAAGCTCCAGGCGGACCGATGAATTACCCACACCGGCCCAGTGATCGGAGGGATCGGGGAAGGCAGGTAACGAAGCAGTGTGTGGTTTTTGCATGGGCCTCGGGCAATGCAATGCCAATCTTGCACGCTAGCAAAATGGCGTATGAAAAATAAAAGTCTAGTCAGTCAGTGCTGTGTAGGTGAAATATTTTTTCTCTTCTAGCAAAGAGCACAGTTCTGTGCTTGGGCACCCAGCGACTCTCGCAAAGTTAGTTGTGATTAATACCATTGAAAAGCATGTAAGTTAAGTTAGTTCTTGCTTTCAGTGGGAAATTTGAGTCACTTTCCCTGAACTCTGGCAGATCCCCACAGTTTAGCCTTTCTCTGCAGAAAATATCTGCTCCCTCAAAAAGTCAAGGGACTGATGCCAAGGAACCATTTGGGTTGTGTACAGGAGAATCTATTCCTACCTTTGGCAATTAGGGATAATTTCAGCCATCCTTGCAATCACTGTCTTATACATATTGAACTGCACGCAGTCAGAAGGACACAGATTCATTCCCCATCTTGAATTTTTCCTGCTTCCTTGATCCGTTGACATTGTATTACTAGCACCAGAACATAGTAATCCATGGACATCTCTGGCCGGCTCTTGTGCATTACTGGATGATAGCATGAGAGTGTAAGGATTTCAGCCATTCCCATCTTGAACACCTGATACTGAAAGCTCTATTGAAATTGCCTCAGGCTGTTGACAAGCTGTCCTGAGCAGTTGATGGAGGCTTCTCACCCGTCTGGAGATGGGGGAGCTGTCCAAATACTGAAGCACGCGCCACTCGGACTGGTTCCTGTTCAGAAGCAGCACCCAGTCTCAGGGCTGCTGAGGAAAGCTGGAGTTCTGCACGCCAGGCCTAGCCTTACCGCTGCAGACCAAAAGAGCATCACGCCAGCATGTTCAGGCGTTGCGTGTTTATTGGAGGGAGTGGGGGATGTGGGGTTAAATTAAAGCATTTTGCAAAATAGACGTGTTCCCTAGGTGATGCCGATTAATTAGAGGTGTGCTCGGAGCCATTTGCCTCTTTCAAAAGGCGACTCAAATCGAATCCCGGAGCTGTCGAGTTCAGGATAAGACATCGTTTAAAAAATCTTCCAGCTGTGATTTGCCTCTTTCGGCTATGCCTCCTGCACACAGTAGAAACCGCAGAGACATTGTGCTGGGGCAAATGATAAACATACTTAATAGACAAGCCACTGGGGTCATGCGACATTTCTTGCCAGCAGATTTGTGGTCATACCTCAAGATCCAGCCCAACGGTCCTCCAACATGTTACACAAAAGGCCTTCTGCCATCAGCACAACAAAGAGCAAGCAAAATGATCAAGGGAATGCAGCAACTCCCTTCAGCTGTCTAGATCAGAAAAATGGGAGGTGTGGAAGGGGTATAAAATTCTGCAAGGGTTGGATGAGGGGGGCATTAGACTCTGTAGCGCACACAGGATCCAGGGCCGGCCAGTGAGGCTGCGTGGTGGGAGATCCAGCACAGCCCAGAGGAAACGCTTCTTCACCCGACACGTGGTTAAGCTGTGGAACTCACTGCCGCAAGATGTGCTGCCCACTTGGGTGGCCTTTAAAGGGGATTAGTTACATCCATGGAAGGGGGGAATGCCGACTACAGATACATCTACTGCTCAGTAGATCTGTCAGCCCAGTGTGACAGCTAAGCACACGCTTAATTCCCTTACTGGGCCTTTTCCGTTTTTGGTGTGGTGTTCTTTCTTTCACCTGTGGTAAGAGCCCGTGATGAGAGCAAATACCCTAACGGTGCCTTTGCGTGCTTTTGCAGGGTTATGGAAGACCCTACCCCTTGCCCCCCTCCTCTGGAAGATACAACTGGAACTAGGCGCTGGGCATTTCTGCAAGTCACAGCAATCCTGTTTTTATGATACTTGGCATCTGAGCCCTTTTCAGGTGACCACCTTTCTTTTTAAGGACTGTACATTTTTACTGATGAGATTTCATATGATGTGTATGTTGCTGTCGAACTGTACTGCAGAATACAGGTGGAGTAATACTTTTAAGTAATACTTATTTGCTTGTGGGGGCGTCTAATGAAGCAAGAGTACTTTCTGTCTTTAGTGTGGGTTTTATTGCATTACACTGTGGATGACTTTCCATTTCACATCAAAATATCCCTTGGATTCACAACTAAGAAAAGGTTTACACCAAGAAAAAGAACAGCAGTGTGGGCAATTGTGTCTGATTGTGAAAGTGACTTAGAAAGCCATCTACAAGCACAACATTGTAAAGACTTGGTTAGTATTCCTTCTAATTGCTTCATTGATGTATTTGTCTGCTGAGCTCTCCAAGTAAAAGCTTCCACTTTTACAATATCTGTGTGGTTTTTATTGTGACATTCATCTCATCTCATAGAATAAACATAATTGTAAATTCTTTTAGTTGCATCACAGCTGTAGCGATCTTGTTTGAGATTGTTCGAACAGCAATAGCATAATGTGAAACCGGTGCTGAAGTTTCTCCTTAAGGACGTTTTCTTCCTACCTAAAGCAAACAGTGTGTATCTTGTCTCTGTACAAAGCAGGTGTGTGAGAGAAGGAACACCTCTTTCCCGAAGTATGAAAATAGTGACTTAGCTCAGCAGCTCTGAGCCGTAATGCTTTTCCCACATTTGTTTAAGCCTACACAGGATCTGGTTTGCCCCTTCTCCACCCCAACAGGCATGAACCCCAGTTCAACAAACTGAATTGGACCCAGATGATAAATTTCAGGAAAAAATAATCTTATAATATTCACGGGATGTTGTCCTCAGATACTATCTGTACCATTCATGCATTCAGCCATCTACCCACCTGTCTTCAACGGATGGGGAACAGAGGTCGCCGTGCTTACTTGACAGTAAATCTCACTAAGTTGAGTGGTACTAACTTCTGAGTAAGCTTGCATAGTTCCTGAACACCCAGTTATCAGTTTAAGCATTCTTTGTTTTACACAGTTTGCCTGACGTCTCAATGGTGTAGCTCCGCTGAAATAACTTGACGTATCCTGAGCTACTTGCTTTTCCATGGCTAAGCTCTGACCTGTTTTAAACTCTGTTCACACCTTGATCCTAAACATACAAGCTTTGGATTACTTCAAGTTCTCTGTACTCTGTACCCTCACCTTCTTCTGCTCTTTTAAGTGTCTTCAGGAGAGAATCATAAAAAGCAATTCTAATGCTTCATTGCAGTTGTTTTTGAATGGAATCTCAAGCTTGTACTTTCCACCTCTGTTGCTACACGCATGCGTGCGTGTACACCACACACACCCCACTCCCATGAAATGTCCAAAACCAAACCCTGCTAATGTTCCACAAGGCAGAGGGAAGGCAGACTGGCTTGAAATGGGATAAGCGAGCGCTCGTTCTTGAACGTGCCATGAACCGCTTGCATGGAATTTCTCGCTCAATTCCATATGAAGTGAAAGTTTGCACGTGTCACAAGAGCCATCAGATCCGGCGTCAGACACGTGGCGGGACTCCTCTCACACGATGCTTCTAAGTTGTGTCAGTTCCCAAAGGTGATTGCTTCACAGTCTGAACAGCATAGGTAGGTGAATCAGCTCTGCTACTGCAACATCCAAGGATCACTTTATTTCCTACCTTTTCCCCATTTATAAAGCAACAGTTGCAGAATATGAAGGAGGCAAGTTGCTGGCAGTGCAAACACAAATCTGTACCAGCAGAAGTGTAATGTAAGATCCGAGATTCCTTGCCCGAAACCCAAGTGTGGCCACTCGGTAAGGGTGGCGGACGGCCAGATACAGAAAGTTGCAAATGGAGAGAGGCAGCCACAGCATTCCCGAGGCGCGTTGTGAGTTTGCTGGTCTTGGCACCAGAACCCTGATGGCAGGGTTGGCCTCTCCCTACTTTCCCCAAGATTTGTGGGGAGATGGCTGTTTTTCCTTTGATACGGTTGTTGAAGGCTCTAGCAGTGTGGCTGGAGGGACAAAACATTTTCTTTCTTACAAATTCTGGGTTTGAAAGGCAGGCATTAGCACACAGGACGCCACAGTAGAGCTGATCCCCTGAGGAGCACGGCAGTGGTCCAGCATTCACAGGTGAGCTGTTAGGTATGTGAGATGCTCCCCAAGATGTGGGGAACAGACGCACCTTTCCCCACGAGCAGCCGCTTCGGCAGGAACTCCTTCACATCGAGTTCCCTGGTTCCAAAGGCAAGAGCACTCTGCCCATCATCCCTCGGGAAAGGCCCCGCAAAGATGCACCGGCTGTGCGGACTTCCACCGGCCAAGAGCCCAGCTGGCTGGCAAAGGATCCAAGGGCATGCACGAGTTCCCAGATTCACTTACGTCTAATGTCTGAAGATTTTTCCTAACCCTGCTCTTCAGCCCAAAGGGGCAGGCCACACTTCCAGGCCCTGCCCGCACAATGCAAAAGGAGAAGTGACCCGGAGGGAGAAGGGGCAGTGAAGCCCCGTCAGTGCGCGAGCGCAGCCCCGGCTCTGGAGGGTCGCCTCTGGAGAGCGCCTGCTGAGCCGGCTCAGTGGTGCCCCCCGGAGAGCCCCGGGCCCCTCCAAGCGCGGCGGGGCGCGGGCCCGAGGCGCCGGGCGGCTCTTTGTCTGCGCTGCGCGGGGCGCTCGGCGCCTCTCCAGCTAATGCGCTCGGCGAGGGGCTGCGCATGGAAGGGCGGCGCGCTCATTGCCGCGCGGGATGCGCGAGGCGGGCGGGCGGGCGGGGGGGGGGGCTGCCCTGCTGCTCGCCGCTCCGGACGCGCGTGCGGGAGCGCGCCTCGACCCCCCGCCGCCTGTCCGGTCTCGGCGCTCTTCGGGCCGCCCGCCCGGGAGACGCTCCGCGCGCGGCTCGCCGGCCCTCCGCTCCCACGGCCCGGGCCCTTCCCGACTCCTCGGCCGGTAAGACCGCGTCTGCAACGGGCGCCCGACGCTTTGGGGATACCCGCGATACCCGCTTTCGAGCATGGACTGGCCTTCGCTGAGATGATGCCTCCCTTCTAGCCAGGCCCGCTTCCCCGCACTTCTCCCTCGCCCTGTCTGCGCAATGCAACTTCCACCATCTTCGGAACCCAAGTCCGGGGGAAGCGGTCCCCGGACCACTAGAACTGAGGCCGCAGTAAATGCGGGTAGTCCGTAAGATGCCGCAAGGCCTGGCTTCGCTCGGCATCCCTTGTCGTCCTTTCTCTCCTCGTGTTTCCTATGCAGAGGAGGTGCTCCAGCCAGGTTGGTATTCCATGTTATTTATTTGCATGTTATTCCGTGCAAAAGTGAAGACACGAGGAATAAGCAAGCCATCCAGGGGCAGTTCTCCTGCGCTGGGACGCCGCAGGAGCTCCCGGGAGAGCGCCGTGTTCTTGCGAAGCTCCTGCTCGTCCGAACGGGCTCCCGCAGGTTTCATTGCGTCGTGGTCAGCCGTTTGCGGCGAGGCCGGCAGAGTTTCTGGGCGCACGGAAAGGCCTCCGCGGCAGCCGAAATCTTCCCGACCTTCTGAACCCGCGGCCCGAACTGTTCTCCCAGGTTGGACCAAAGAACAAAACAAGGGAAGCGTCTTTTCTTTTGGCCTGACGGGTCCCTCAAGTTTGGTGCGCTCGAAAGGAGAGATCCTGCGCGCTTTGCCCTGGGTCGGGGGCCGCGCGGCCCGTGCGCTCCGCTCTCTGCGCACCGCCAGCTCCGCGCAAGCTGCCCGTCTCGCCGGCGAGGCAGGCCTGTCTGCGCGCGAGGAGGAGTTTCCCCGCTCCCTCTGCATTTGCGCGCAGCGCTCCTCGGCTGCAGGATCAAGGCCTCCCTGCGCGGTGTCCCGGCTCCAGCCCGGGAGAAAAAAAGATACCTGTCCTCTGCCTTCACAGGCGCACAGCGCTTTTCAGGTTCCACATTCGGTGCCGCGTCAGACGCAGCCCGATCCAACGCACATTGACTTAGGAGTGAGCTCTACCTAGCTCAGTGTGGCTCCTTTCCAGGCAACTCGTTGAAGTTGAAGTAATCGATTTGCCTTAGTTGTTAACCGATCCCTTTATTCCCGAGTTTACATGGGAGAAAGTCCTAGTAATTTAACTAAGATTTACAGTACAATCCTAGGCGTGTTCATTTGGAAGGAAGGCGGTTCGGTGGCACTTACTCCTTAGTAAATGCTAATTCCTTAGTAAACCCTTAGCTGTGGGAGCCTTACTCCCAAGTAAATGTGCATTTACATTTAAAAGCTGGAAATTTACTTACCGGTGCAGCCCTCCTTCTAAAATTAAATTTCTCTTTGAACTAATCCGACAGAACGCGCCACATTTCTATTTTCAAACATTCCTTTCAACTATTGTTCCTCTTTCAAAAGTTCGGTGTATCTCGCATCTCCCCACCTTATTCTCTCTCCCTTTAAGCCTTACCGATCAAGACAACTGGATGTAACGGGGGTTTTTTCCCCAGCCCCAAACAACAGCAACGTTAAGAAAAGCGTGAGCGGGTGGGAAACAAGTTTTGTAACCATAAGAAGAAAGGAATCGGATAAACTTGGTCCGAATAAAGTTGGCTGGTCGCTGCAACGCATGAAAAACAGACATGTCTCCTCCGGGGATGCCTAGCCTAATTTTGCCCAAAGGTCAAGGAAAAATAGTAAGCACACCCACGGCTTCCTCCAACCCGATCCGTTGCGCTCTCAGCGGGAAGTCGGACGCGAGCTCAGCTTTGCCAAAGAGCCGGCGCACGTGTGCCGAAGTGAGTGTTCAGTTCCCCCGTAAAAACACCCCACGCCGCGGCGCAGCGCCCAAGGTTTCGCCGGGAGAAGGACCCCCTTGGGTTTCGCGGAGGGTCGCCTGCCCGACCGAGCTCAGCGGCGCTTCGGCCCTGGGAAGCACAGCTAGCCCTGCAGCCGCGGGTTCTGCAAGCGCGGCCGTTAGTTCGGGGCTTGGCTTCGTCTCCGCGGGGGCCACCGCGCCGCGCTCTGGCCGTCCCGCTGGCAGGGCGCACGACGGCGCTTCGGCCCGGGATCTGGAAGTGAGCTGCCTCGCCTGGCCTACGATCCAACGCAAATTCGGCGCATTAAAATCCCGCCGGTTTTAAGCGCGAGTCAACCACTTACCTGGAATTTAACGAGAGTGGTTTCTACAGTCTGCTCTGCCCAGGAGCTGCTTCTGCGCTTAAATCAGCTGCTGAAAAAGCGACCAACTTGGGCTGGAGGGCGCCTTTTTAGTTCGAAGTTTAATTTAAATGCCTCTCCCGGGCCTCCAAAAATCCACTTGGACCCTCGGATAATTTGCACCAATGAGAGTGTTTTCCCACCCTCGCTGTGGCCACTTAGTCGCAATTGTTTCTGTTCTGAATTCAGAGAAAATGAAGGAAAATTAGAAATATTTTGAACGTGGGTGCATCGGAATCAGT